TGCCTAAGTTACCAATAATAGCAAGCTTCAATAGAAAAACACGGAGAATCTCTAGCTGTATAGCGTTGGATATATCAAAGGGATTCGGCACCAAGGATTCTTCCACCACCTCATCAGCTATGCCATCGTTTATCGAGTTTTCTTTCAGGTAGAGGTAGCGATAGTGGACGAAAATTGACTATCTAAACTATCGATAAAATATCGATAGTTTAACGTTATAAATAAGCTGGACTAATTCGACTAATTCTTTATAAATGGTCACTTGTTTTATACTTCTTTTGGCATATATAACAGGTGACTATGCCAGCAGCAGATGCTTCTTCCCTATATCAAAGTATTTCCATATAAAGGAAAACGATTTAGGTGCTAACTGGAATTCCATTCTGGAAAGGAAAAAGAAAGAAAACTAGAGCAAGTTAACAAAATAAAACCATACAGAACATAGGCAATAACCGAGGCAATAACCATACTTCTTCTTATTATTATTCGTCTTATCTTTTTCTTCTTCACTCTTGATTAATAAAACCTTTTCTGCTTCTAATTTATTTCCTCGATTGTTTACTTTTCTGGCTTCTTGCTATGTTAATTTTACCGACAAGCAGGCCAGGCCACGGACTATCGGAGTGTAACTATCGAAACTATCAATGTTTCGGTAGTTCTAGAGCTATCGACACTATCGATAAACTATCGATAACATCGCTACCCGATTCGTTACCTCTATACTTTCAGGCAGATCGCTCCATGTGGTAGTGGACAGAGTATCGGCTGATACCATTGCCATTAATTCCGGCATTCCACAAGGATTAATTTTGGCACCAACATTGTTTCTACTTCATATCAATGATCTGTTGGGAGTAACCACTTGCATATCCACAGCTTTGCAGATGATACTCTCCATATATAATGCGTTCCTTTCCACAATTCCCATTTTTACCCAGGAAACTATATAAAAACTTACGAAGATGATGAAAGATCTTGCTGAAATTACAGCCTGGGGAACCAACAACCTATAGTTGAATTCAACGCCACCAAAACTCAAGCCTGTATATAGAAATCGGAACTCAGTATGCCTTCTTATATATTATGACAATGTCTGATACCACCATTCCCACAAAGTTCACTATATCTATGATCGGTAGTTTCATCAGCAATACTCTTTCATAGTAAAATCTCGCAGATTCTCAGTGAAAGCTGCTTCACAATAACTCGGATTTTTATTCCGTGCGAGAATCTCCTTTACACCTGAACAGCTCCTCATGATCTACAAAGCACATCAGATACGGCCTGTTCTAGAATAATGTTCTCGCATATGGGGTTCAGCACCCATACATACGCTGATGCTCTTAGATTCCATCCATTCACCTGGTGGGTGATGCCCCCACACTCATTAATCCTTAGACCTCATTAGAACACCGTAGAAAAGTCGGCAACATCTCACTTTTCCATAGATACTACGGGAAATATTCTTCAGAAATCTCTGCTATCATTCCATCACAAGCCAATAACTGTCAAATGAATTCGGCAAGCCCAGTCAGCACAGTACGCTCCAAGAGATAAAAAATAAGACTCCAAACCACAGATCAATGACATGCAGTGCAGACGTTCATAAATATTGATTAAAAACTGTGATGCAAGAAGGGGGGATACATGTGCAGAATTCCAATTAGATCGAGGTGATTCCAAGAGATTCCCATCAGGAACTCCTAAGAATTCCAGATGTTTGTAGACCAGAATCATACCGCATTTCACCCAAGGAACCTCAAGGAATTGGTTGTAGACCAGATTTATACCTCACTTTCCTCAGATAATCCCACGCAAAATCCCAAGGAGTTTCAGGGAAATCCAGCGACCTCCAAGGAATTCCATTGTTTGTGAGTGTGCTGTACACCAGACTTCCACCGAGTTTTACCCCTTCGAGAATGCGAAAGAGAATTTGAAAAAATAAAGATCAATGTCCTTATACATTGTTGTATCTGTAACTTATCCCATTCTTGCACCTCCTTATATAACATTGATTTGACGCAGGTTAACATATACCTTCCTTACAGCACAAACCTTCTTTCCCGAATCTCCAGTCTTTTACTACAAGTAATTCCATCTAACCATATTTTCTATCTCTACAAAATAACCTTGGAACCAACCTGAAAAAATCAGTGTTTTGCCTCTCCTGTAATATCTATAAGAAATGTTAAATATCCCCTTCTAGCATCAGTCTTCTATTGTTGTTTATAGTTCATTCTTAGATGGTGGTAGGCACCATCAGTGGATATCAAAGGACAAACTGAAACACTGCCAAATTTCAAAAAAACGAGAATCGCCATCAGTGGTCGGTCTCCGTTACCGACCAGTCGATTGTCGGGGGAGCAAAAAACACCCTTGCCATGGAATTCCGTTCGGCAAATAACCGATATGGTAGGTACCGGTGATGTGATGCCTCTTTGTTTTGACCCGAGCATATTTTCCCATGCTAATGATTTCTGCAGCAGGTAACAAGTCCGCGTCAACCACCTGTAAGTTTCTGCGCGCTGGTGGCTGTTTTTGATAGAGCGGAGAAGAAGAATCGAGGTATTCAAATGTTGGTATATAGATATAGCGGCTTCGGACGAGTCATGTGGCCTCTGAATGAATAATAATAATGGAATAAATTGGTTATATTAATGGTTTATTATTAGGTTTCTGTGAGTGATGATAATGGTCATTATTGTAGGTCCATTACGGTGCCTGGAGTTATTTGCATGCTTCATTTTTGACACAATTATTCATCAATAAGAATCTGTCTCTGCGAATGCAGGGTGATACAGATATTAGTACATTAATTTGTCAAAAATTGCAATAGTTACTTATTTATATACTGTTGAGTGTAATTATACAAAAATGTTATAGTCTCCTATGTGTCCACGTAAATTTTGCACAGTATGTCACCCTATTTTACAATTTTATATTTTTAACAACGTTCTAACCAACCTCACCAAAGATTATTCCTGATGATGGAAATAAACATTTCCGAAAGCTTGGATAAACTTTAAAGAGTATTCCTTTTACACTGCTGCTGCTTACACTGGTTTCATTCCTACTGGTCAGCAACGACTTCCCTTCGATGAATCTTTATATATAGAAACTTTTAGTCCTAGAGCACAGCGAGAATCACATTCAATATGTAGGTACATGACATTCAGGTATTACCCTGTATATACCATCATTCCACATGCATTATATGGAAACATATTCAGCTATTTTTTTCTGATGCATTTAAAATTGATTTATGTCAAATATCTTTTGTTACGATAATTTTTTTCATGATCGTGAGTATGTGCTTTCGACTTGAATATAAGTGAAAACCTGTTAATGCATATTCATGAGCTTATTAAACAGCAATAAATAGTCTCATAATTCAATCAATGTGGAACGTACGAAATTTATTGAAATTGTTATGAAATCGAGACGAAGTAGGTAATGAATATTTCAAACCTATTAATATAGCTAGTAATAAAATATCGTTAATGTTGCAAAATCGATATAGCGGAAAATTAAAAATCTCAACATCAGTATATTACTCTAAAAAGGAAATTTTAGTCGCATCAATGATTCTATACATTTTCGCGAAAGAATTATGTCTAAAATAATCTTTAAACTTCTTAGAAATGCAATTTGAAAAGATAATTTGGAGAGTTTCAGCTGGTGTACACGAATATTATTATTCATAAAATCACAAATTCGAGAGCAATAATTATTGAACGTATACAAGGTGGTCCACTTTATGATAGAGCAACTTCTTTATTCATTAGGTTTAATTTTGAGAAGAAAAGTTCCCAAAAACGTTGGTCAAAGTATGTTTCGTTTTGGAGATGTAAGAACGATTATTTTTGTTCAATAATAATAGTGTCTGATATAGTGAGAATCGGAAAAAGAAAAAATCTGAGGTATTTTTAAGCACATCTGATTTTCGGAGATGACTTGTTCTTATTTTCTTCAATTTTTTGAGAAGGTATATAACTAACGAAACACCTAGTACATTTTTCATTGTGTATTTTTACAAGTCGTACACTGATTTCTTTTCAACATATTTTCAAACACCCTATATTCCGTTTAATTCACACTTTTTCATACTATGTGTTTCTGATGATAACGAGAATGATGATGAGGAAAAGAAAACCATTATTTTGAACAGAGTACCTACTGTGCATTTTTGCTGAAAAAATAACCACAATGACTCTCTTATATATTTATTATATAATACTTATCATGATATTGAATCAAAACTTTGAAAATTCATATAATCTAATGTATAGATTTGTTTACCGAAAACTGATGAATAATCATACATCTCTCAAAAACTTCTATAATGAATGTATTTATCTTCGACTGAAGCCGATATAATAATGAACGTTGCTGTCATATTAACGGCTAATGCACCACGCTTTTGCATACATTTGCATGATGGGAACTCGGCTGTTTTCTCGATTGAGATCGGTTATATTATCTTCCTCATCTTCGTATTCTTCTTTCGATTGATGCTGCGTGACCAAAAGGGTTCCCACAAAACATCGGAGCTTTACAAAATTGAAAAGCAAATTGTACCTGTAGATGTATAGACCTATAGCTAAACAAGATTCTTTCTACAAACGCAGCTCTTGACAGGAAAGGAAAATAGCAAAATGAGTGGAAAAAGTACTGACCCGGGCCCGGGATTGAAGTTATCGAACCAAGAAATGAAGATATTGGCTTTCTGGTTACAAACAGTTCGATAGATCTTACCTAGATAACTCGCTAGATGACTCTGATTTTGACCGGAAATAAGTCAGCATGTTTTCTGAATATCATTTCACGTTCATGTTGGAGTGGCATTAATTTATGAATTTACTTTGATCTATGTTTCTACCTTGATTTCTCCGGTATAGGAGAAAAGGAGATTCAAGGTTAGAACTTCTGCATTTTCTGCTACATCAGGTGTATTCGATAGTTCATTGACAGCATTATGCAATAATATATCATTCACGAAATCATTCATACTGATTCGGATCTCCCGTAATGTTCTCTAGCAAGTGTAGTCCTGAAAAACAGAAGAGTCCTGTATGTGCATATAAAAATGTAGAAAAATCGCCAAGTCAAGACACCTGTGATCCTGTGAATAATTTCTCGAAATGATGACGCTCCCTCAATCCTAGATATTAATTGCCTGATTGCTCCCTCTCCCTATACCATTTTAATTGTGACATTCAGATAATATATATCTACTCCTTTTCTAACAAAACCAATTCGTGGAATTATTTCAATAATTCAAGCCAATGACCCGTGAAAATTGATCTCATATATATACGCGTAATTACCTAATCATTTTTTATTAATTAAATTTCTTGTATATATAGGTATGCATTGTGAGTTTCGAAGCATTTCTTCTATATTATTAAGGGGATTCTTTTGAATCACTATAATACTTCGCTATATACCTTCCTATTTGTATAGGAAATCTGGATCCTGAAAGAAGTAGTGAACGTTCAACTTTCAGGAATCTATGGGAAAGTGAATTTTCTCTTTCAAAGTCACTGACATTTTGAAGAAAGAAAAGAAAAATGTTTACAAATATTGTTCTTTCTTCTAGTTAGGTATTTCAAGCTTTCTGTGATGAGCTGATGCTATCAGTGACTTTTTCACTCATCTTAATATTCTTATAAGACATGACCTCTGATCTGACCAATCATAAAACGAATACAGCTTGTAGGTATCATCTCGAAAACGGAATATTCAGGACATTGTGATTATATTACTCTTCATAAGTTGACAAATCTCGCATGATTACTCGTTTTTTGATCTGAAATCTACCATTTTCATGTTCAGACCTCAGAAAATCAAGTTCATAACGAACCACGAACAAACTCGGTTACCCTAGGTTCTCCTAATTATGATTTTCATACACAGAAAAAAATGCTAGTTTACATTTGAGTATAAAGTTAGTCTTGAAAAAACATTCTCAAAATAAGTGTTTTTACATTCGAATTGAAAGTATCTCTATTGAGAGAAGAATATACTACTCTCATTATGAAAACACAGATACTCTTGATCATCAAGATAAGGATACATTTCCTTGGATATTTTTTACTCTCAATCCAACAAAATAACTTGTCTGAAAACAAGAACAGATATAAAGTACATTTTGAAATTAATTCATTTTTTTCTAACAAAATGCAAAACTTGCGTCAATAGATTCTATCGTTAATTTGCTATTATGTCAACATTGATTTAAAATAAATGCATTCTTCGAACTAAGATATGCATTCTTAATTGTAAGGAACATACTCTTCATCGAGAAGTTCCGTTCATTATATCAAGAATAACTATTGTTATGGTTAGAATCAAATAAATCTCATATGAATATTAGTACAATTTCACCCAAGAATAGGCTACTTTTGATCCGAATATCATATACTTGGATCACAGATTAGCTAAACTTCAAGGCAGACCAAGAAAAATTCGTTGGTAGAGAGGGGTCATATCTTGCGTCGGTCGAGGACGGGACTCGGGAAGTCGGGACAGTTTTTGTGAGGCAATAAGCCGCGGAAAGGTAAACTGAACAACAAACACCTATTTAGTTTTGCCGGTGATTTTGTCGTTTATGGCAATGGAAGTGTTGAAAAATATGGAGGAGCTCTTACGAGAATGGAAACTGGAAGAATTCATTCCATTATTCAACGGTAAGAAGTTTGTTATGAAAAAAAAACATGGCGACCAGTGAGCTGATGGTGCCTGGTCATAATTATTCCTCGGTATAAGCGTTGCACCAAATTCTGTGGCATGTGTTAGTTCGCAAATTGAAAAACTAAAAATGTTTCTTATATATTATTCCTAGCTAGTAGAATAATGGATATAGGTAACAAGAAAGGTAACAGATTGAATTATTCATAATGATTGGCCAGGTATATATCCAGACTTTTAGGAAAATCTAATTTGCTCATCAGCAAGTTACTAGATAATATTGTTAGTTTTGTCATACCTGTTTATAATTATAATATTCATAGTACGGTCACTCGATTTATAATACTTAATTATCATGCAAAAATTACAATATCAATATGCAGATTGACAGGAAAGGTAACTTATAAGATTCATCAACATTTTTTCATGCCTTGCGACTATATTTTCTACTGCAAAAATGTCAATCAAATACATATTACGATTTTCGATACAAGTTCGTTGCTTTTTCTAGGACATGAAAAATCGGAACACAATATGTCAATGCTATCCGAAGATTTGATTAAAGAATTAATTCCTAGAATAGGAAAACGAATGATGTTCCTTGGAAAATGGAGGAAAATGCGAAAGAAAAATCATCGGTATGTATACATATATTAATATTTATCTTCACAAACGTAGGTATACAGGGTGGCCCATTAGTGCGAGGAAGTCCAATATCTTCGTTATCATTGGAGATACATAAACAAAACTCATATATAATTATGTTTCAGGGTGAATAGCACGAGCAGCAAAATGTCAGTGCATCTTCTAATCACGATGCAGAAGAAATACAGAACATTGCTAGATTAAGAACATTTCTATATTGAGCTGAATATCCCTAGAGCTAAATAAAATGTAGATGAAATTCGAACAAATACAAATTATTTTCAGCTCGACTTATCATAGTCTTTAAATAATGCTTCTTATTCTTGCATCAAGCATACCTACCCATTTTTGCTCTGAGAATGAAGGAATGGTTCACTTATTTGAAGTTTCCTTAGCTTTCCATCAAGTGTGGAAAATCATTCAATATGAATGTAACTTGAGTTATTTTGATTTGATTAATTCTTTGTTCAAGATGAAATTGTAGCTACGATCAATAATTCTTATACTTATGACAAGTATTTATCATTCACAGGGAAACTAAGAATCAATTTGCTGGAAGAATATACTATATTTAATCATATTTGGCTTGCTTTCAATTGGAGTTTTGTTAAGGTTTAGAATAATTATTACTATACTTAGGTTAAGTTCACTATTAATTATTACCAATAAAATGTACAGATCGGTATAAGAATAACGTGCATTTCAAATTAAGTATAGTTCTCATTGCGGATATATGAGTCTAACTTACATTTCAGTCAAGACTACTATTCTTGCATATAGTATATATTTTTTTCTGTGTATATATCATCTATTGATTTCGTTTGAAAATAACTCCCAGAACATTTATATTTGTACAGGCTTCGGAAAGTCAAAAAATGAAGCCAAGCTAAAAACGATGTTCTATACCATTTTGTCCATCACAAAGATTCACAAAGAACCCAACTGTCTGGCAAAGGTATTTTCCCAATGATATATGCGACGCTTCTTTTGAATAAAACTACTTATTTTTGGGAGAATTTGAATATTCGTAAAGGGACGTATGTTCTGAATAGATTTGATGGATGTTAAAACGTGCCCTGAAGATCCTATACATTTGGCAAGAAGTAGGTATTTCTACCTGCTCAAAATTGAATCGATCCGACGTTACAAAGAATAAAATGTGCAGGTGTGAGAGATGCACATGTCTTCCGAACAATTATTGAGGGTGTGCAGTTTTTTACTATGAGGAATTCGAAGAAAAAAATTTAGGTAAAGGAAATTGCAAGAGAGATACAGAACAGTATAGTATTTTTTGATCATTCATCCTTCAATTAATCGCACTGTATAGGTAATCTATATAACGAGATTTATGTATATCGGAAATAGGTTCGGGTTGGGATATTGAACTTCAAATTTTGAAGAACATAAATAGTTCGATATCAAATTATACTCGTGAAGGTTTCAACATGAACTGTACACGGAATAAAAAAGGATTTATTGTTCTAAAATTGTTTATTGCATCAACAAACTATTTGTTTTAATCAGGGATAGAGTTTAATTGAATTAACAGTCTGATATCAATTCCATCAAAAAATTTATAATTAGTTATCTCAAGAACAAATAATGTTTGATCTAAAAATACTGTCGATGTTGATTCAACGTTTAAACCTCGGTTTATGCATTCTGGCTTGTAGATTTAATGTAGTAATAACCATTATTTTATAAGAATATCTATATATCTTAGAAGCGACATACAATAAGTTTTCTTAGTCCGATGTATCAATGGACTATATCGAATGGATCATTTTTGCTTGAATAGAGCAACGAAATAAATGAAATATTTCGTTCATTCAATATGGAGTTACATTTTTGCCATTAGATATAACGATCTTTTCGCCTCGTCTATATTATTGCTTCGGATTCATTATAAATTAAGCCTGATTATACGTTTTCGAAATATCTGGATTAACTCAAGATGCTCAGCAATCTGATATAGACTTCAGCTGAAGAACTAGTGAAGACTGAGGTGAACGGTGAACACTGAAGATCGCAGAAGTTTAGGTACTATAATGATTCCCTGAGATTCCCAAATCAATAATTAAATTGTTTCAACAAAATAATTTTCCAAATCGAGATACAGTTTCTTTTGAATCAACGAAATATTTCATTGAGTTGAAGAAATGTTTCTTTTTTAATCAATATCTGGTCATTTTGATTCAAACACAATAATAATTGTTTGAAATAGTTCAATATCTCTTTCTCAACAATTCATGCGTGCATGCATAGATCTATGGTGCATGTGTGTGATTGCATATAATGACACTTCTCATTGCTACTTGAATCAATGATTCCTGTTTTCCGTGTGGGTAGTTTTTCTTTGGAGATGAGAAAATAGTAAGACGCATATAGATACACGATAAATATTGTAGGATGTGGCAGCTTTATAACATCTAAGTATCTATAGTATTTTGAGAGTTATAATGTTCCACAATTTGATGAAAAAGCATAAAGCATCAAATCATTTCAGATAAGATTTGACTGTTGTCGACATTTAAATATCTTGAGCACATAACTTCATTATTTTGATTGAGGTATAAGGTTCTAAGGTGAAGACTTTATATTTTACACGTTCTCTATATATCTTTATTATCGTGTTTTCCTAACTCTGCATCTCCTCCATAATAGTTAAAGGAAAGCTATCAAGTTTCATCTGACTATCTATACACTGTTGTCAAGTTACATCTTGGTTTACAACGATTGATGAAGAAACAATCTACAAGTATATCTTCATCAGCCACTGACTCTGCCATCAGCAACATTCATTGATGGCAAACGGAATCAGTTTTAGTAAATATACAATATATAGGAAGCTATAGACTTATAGACATGCAATTTCTTCAGCCGTTTCAACTTACCATCTCTCCTGGGCTGTAGGGGACTCAAGGGCGGCGACCTAGGGGACCCAACCGGCGGTCCCACTCCATCCTCCTCAGAACTACTCGAAGACGGCGTACTGCCCCTCGTGAAGCTCTTATTATTGTTGCTCCTGTTGTAGTACAGCCCGTTGTTCTGCAGCAGCATCATCTGCTGCTGGGCAGTGAAGCTGCCGAACTGCTTCAGCTGCGAGGCGACCGTCGCGGAACCTTTGGTCTTGAACTTCGACATGGTGAAGTCCAACGGTTGGTCGGTCTCGTGCGAGGAGAGGATCACGTGACCGGGCGGCTGCTGCAGCAGCATCGGCATGCTGCAGGTGGGGCTCCAGAAGTCCAAGGTGTTGTTGTTGATGGTGCTGCCCTTGAAGGGCTTCGAATTGTCTTTGGGGAGAGTGGGCGAGGGCTGGCTGTCTACCCACCTCCGAACTGAGTCACTTTTTAAATCCGCCAGGGTGCAAGGCACTGAACAGTCACAGGTGGTCACCGCACTCTCTGTTTTTTTTGCTGATATGTAGAGAAATAGTCACTGGGGTTACCGGCGCGGGTAGGTTGTTGTGTGTGGGGGGTTTTATGATAGCGTGTCGCGTTCGACGGTGTTGGCAGCGCCACTGAGTATAGCCGTATAACAACGCGTACTCGTATTTGCATCGAGTAGGATGCTGGATATAGAAGGAGGGGATATTGGACCGGGCGATGCGGTGGTGGGGATGCGTTGCGACCAATCGCCGCCCAGTATGTTCCGATATACAATAGTATATAAATTGTATGGATTATTTATTTATTCTACATCTTATATATGTATTTATGTGAATATATGTATAGGAGCAAAAGGATTACGCGTTTCTTTCCTTTTCTTTTCTTCTGCTTCTGCTGATGCTGATTTTAATGGCGCACTAAATCAATAGGAGATTGCAATTTAGATTATTCCGATAGTTTTCACGAGGTTTCTGGTTATTCATATGCATTGCCATTATTGCCTAGGTGGCGGTTATTGTTCGACGTTTTGGTCATTGACATTCACGTCACGATGGTTGCGGAGAACAGTCCATTCATTCATTTGGAGTACAATATAGGAATTAGGTATGGACGAGGAGCAAAAATTCGCGCAACTTTTGCTCGAGGAAATGGAAATCAAATGACCAATTTTTCAGTAGCGGTATACCTAGATAGAAAGGATTGGAGTATAATGCTTTTTTCGGCAACAGCCGGGAAGTACTCCCCGAACGCTTTTTGTTTGAGAATGTACCTAGCATTTTTCCGGCCTAGTCCGGGAAGTACGTACGAATATCTCAGTTTCAGTCCTCTCCAAAAAGATGCGAAGCATGCTTGAAAATCGTTTTACTGAACAAAAATCGAAAATATTCCAATGAATTGGTGTGACCCGGCATCAGGCAAACAAAATAGACATCTATATATGGTTTCTATTTGAAATAACAACATTGGCTTTGATATTAGACAATTGATGTGCAATATTTTTTTTTCAACAAACGTCAAAAAATGACAAGGTTCGCGCATTGATAACAAATTGCGAAGTGACACTTTTTTTCAGTTTCCTACGTTACCATGATACCTTGCACCAATCAATGCGCGAAGTAAAACAATACGCATTGTTATGTAAAATATTATGAGATATTTATATTTCAACTTTATATATGGTCCTCAATCGAGCAAACATCCACGAAATCATTTATTTCTGAATGTTCAACAATAACTTTGTTTTATCTCTTGGAGCGCACGGAAGAAAATTTCTATTACGTTCGTGGAACATCGTGCGTATACCTAAGGAGGATAGGGGAAGGCCTTTCAAGCCAGTTCAAAACTATTTTCTATATCAAGCTTAGCATATTTTTGCTTTAGAACTAAGTATATTTTTTGACGTTTGTAGAAAAAATGTGCAACTCGAGCGCGAAATACTTTGGTCATCTCGACTATTTTTTAACTCGGCTACGCCTCGTTAAAAAAACAAATCTCGATCACCAAAGTAGCATTCCAAGCTCTAGCTACAAAAATAACTATTTTTGGCAAATGGTTTCTCATTCCGCGTTGAAAAGTGCGTGTAATGTAATGTAAGTTTTTTCTGTTCGAAAAATATCCAAAAATAAAAATGTTATGGCATATTTTCTCGATCTGTTCTGGAAATGGAAATAACTTTACCAAAATCAAGCAATATTGTATGCTGTCCTTCAAGTGAATAAAATAACATGCACAGTAGTTGATATACAGAAAAAGCCGAAAATCTCAAGTGAATCGATCAATTATTTCAATAAATACAGCAGTTTGTATCAATGCATTATTTTTTTCATGAGGTGTGAGGGTATACTTTGAAGATCTCACAATATCTTTTTTCAACATTCTCATTGGAAACTCCTATATACATAAATTTACTTATATTCCATGCACCGGAGTCCGGATTGTATATGTATAGGTATATACCTATATATAACATCAGAGCCGCGGAAAAGCATATCATCCATACGGCGCAAAAAAGCGCGAGAGCACCAATGGCAATCCATTTTAAAATAAAATATATGATGCCACCCCTATCTCGCCGAAGGGTGCAAGTTCGGCATTGGTGCATACCTAATGTGATACGCGTCTGCGCGACCCTATAGAATCACGATAACAAAATCTGAATATGCGTGATCACGGCGTTGGAATTGTAAAGGGAAGCGAATCGCGAAATAGAAGAGATTGTTTAGCTTTCCTTCTCTTTCTACTTTTTATAGAGCGAAACCCTTCAAGTTTCTGATTTGGGTACAATCATTAGGTATTTTTAGTGACTCAAAATCAATATTCTTCACATTTATCACCTATTTAATATTCCTAAATTGGGTCCCTGCTCGGGCGCCAAATTCACTGGTCCTCGTTGTTTTAACCATCAATGACTTGAAAATCTCCTCTCTTCTGTACCTATATATACACACAATCTCTCCCGTTCTTCTTCACTTTTGTTATACTCTCTACTTTCTGCTATTGGTAATATTTCCTTATTTCTGCATTCACTATTATTTCTGCTTCTTCACATCATCATGTCATACTTTCCTATGATCTCCATTTACCACAATGAAGTTTCGAATTTCTGAATCATATCTGATACTTAATGATATTAATTGAATGAGTTTATAGTTTCCACTAGGTATATATGGTGGAATAATTTCAATTCAACCCATTAGAAGGGTACACCTTTAGTTTAATAATGATAATAATAATAATAATAATATTCATTCACTCTTTATTTCACATGAATTGACATACTATTGTGGTATTGTGATAGGTATAGTTATACATTTCGATATAGTGAATAAACAAAGTACATCTTACGAGGCAGAATAGCCTGCCTGTGTGTAAGGATTATAAATAAATATACATAATTTGACATGAAATACAGTATAAGTTATCTATTCAACTTATATATTATAATTAAATAAATAGATATCATGAATATATACAGTGACGCAACATTGATTTTATATAGAATAATATATGGGAATGATTTATATCAATATAAAGAGTTGAAATACTGAATACAAAAATAGATAGGTGATTGTAATGAATAAAATGAAAGATGAAATAGCTAATTGAAATGAATAAACGAAGGAGTTTAATGGTTCAGCGGATATAACAGAGAAGCTGTTTAAATTTCTAAACGTCTACTTATTTCTGCTCGGGGTATATTTTTAACAAATGATTTGATCATTTTCTTAAATCTTCTGGAGCTAGATTCGCACCTCAAATTGTCTGGTGAAAAACTATATAGTTTATATAAGTATATATATATATACCCTTGGATCCTTGCTAAACGAGCATTCCTCATTCAAAGCTCGAAGTTTTGCTTCAAATCTCGTTTAGATATTCAGTTGTCACCATTAGAAAAAATTCTATCCACCCCCTGAGAGAGGTAGTTGATTCTTAAAATTCCTCAGAAATCCTTGTAGACTGAGCAATTTTCATTCTAATATTGGCTTCAAATTGCATATTTGAAGAACTCAGATGTATGTTAAGTTAAGTGAATTGATACAATTTCGGTGACTACGTATACTTACCTAATCATTCAACTAAATCGATATTCAAATTTGAATTAAATATTTTAATCAACTTTGGCAAAATTATTTATACAATCCTATACCTGAATGTCAAAATAAGGGAACATTATTAAATTACTTTTGAAAGATTTGCAGAACCTGAAAATTCAAACCCTTCTGTTAGTGAATAACCTTTTTGTGAATCAATCTTCCATAAATATGTAAGAATATAAAAATGAGCATTTCTCACGAAACTTAAAATTATTTCGATCCCTTGCTAAGATATGGGTAAAAAAGCGCACCTTTCGCATACAGAAACCCCTAATTCGCATAAAAAATGGGGAGAGATGCAAAGTTGAATGCACAAAAAACGCTGCATTGTGGAATTCTGTTATGTCGAGGGGTGTATAGCGGTTCTCAGGAAATGGGATTTTTTGAAGGTTTTACGTTTCTTTACCTTGCGACCTATTTAGTTTTTTACCTAAAAATACGGTTTGGCAAATCTACCGTTAAGGTGTCGTATTTAAAGCCCGTTTTCGTGCTTTTTGGGGTATTGTGTAAATTTCTCACAGTGAACGCATTGAATTAGGTCACATCTATAATAGGTGAAATGAATACCTGAATTCGAACTGATTGAATAACGGTGAATTTTGATGGTTAATACATGAAAACAAGAAATGCTGAGTTAGGTATACAGTCTGTCCAAGATAAGGTTGAACAGCATGGAGATCTCGAAAACGGTATATAGGAGATACGAAGTCAGTTAAATGGGGAAAAAGTTGCGCATTCGGAGGCTCATATCAAGAGTCTACAGTCAAGCCATGTCCCAACCAGATTATGTTTCTGAAAAATGTATGAGATGCTTCAGATCAGAAATTATTTATTTGCAAATGAACCTCGAACTTATCAAAAATTTACACGATACAAAAAATATTTCTGAAGGGTATAGATATCTTTCTAAAAAAAAACTGGAAGTTTCCAGTGTGACATCTGAAAAGTTATCACTAGATTTGTACGGCAACATGGTTGTTTGCAACGATCGCAGGTCATGATGATGATGATGATGAGAAACATCACAAAACGTGACTTACAGTCACAGATTATGCCATGCCAAAAATTATGGAAATCGATCTCAGTCTACTCTCTTTATGAGCAAAATTATTTTTTTTCCAAAAAACTTCACGCCTTGTACCAATTGAACGAGACGATTTTGGATATAGAGGTGAGTTGGCCTATCCCAGGAGTCCACAACCGAGCCATGTCCCAACCTTTAACAGACACCCTGTATAAGTTATCAATATAAGAATTCCGAAGATTTTCTCTGATAAGTATATCTATGTTTCAGTTTTTTCTGTGATTTCCTTCATCTAACGCTCCGTCCTCTCAAGAAAAACTCCTCGGAAGTGTGAATAAGGGAGCTAATTAAGAGCCAGCTCCGCTTCGTGAAAATAGGGAACTGCAGAATTATAGCATATATACTGT